TGAATAAGATAAAATGTCTCTATTGCATCCCTGAAAATTAATACTTTTAGAGGAATTTTGAGCATAGATTTAAAGTACACTCTATTGTTAAATATTTCCTTGTTCCAACAGAAATTTATCCATCCTCTGCAGAACTGATTAGAAATTGAAGTTCTAATATCTCTTGCTGTGTATTTCAACATCACATTTAAGAACTGGCTCTTACAGGAACATCATTTTGATTGTGAGGTCCTGATGATTTTGTTGTGCTAAAGTCATATAATACCACTGGTAGGAAGACAGTAAGTTTTATTGAATACAACATAATTTTTTACTTTTAATAGATCTGTTCTGGTTACCTAGTGCCACCCTGACAAGAATATACTAAAATTGGGATGGTTTTAACAAAAAGGAGTTTATTCTTACAATTTGGAGGCTTTAAAACCTAGTTCAAAACTGAGCCAGGCTCTAGTGGTTCAGTGAGCGCCCCTCAGCCTTGGGCTTCAGCTCTGCATCCAGCTCCTGGACCACTGGAGATAGGGGCTTATCTTCACTCATCTGGCTACTGAGGCTGAAAAGCCCAAGGCTGACAAGTAAACAGGCACAGTCCCAATATTACCAAAGCACTGGGCAGGCCATCAGTTCAAGTCTATTGAATGTTCCAAGGTTGGCAGAGCATGGCAGGTTGCTGAACAATGACGCCATGGCTACATGTAAGGTCCAAGCGTGCCATAAGCTAGAGACCATTCCCAAAGCAGTTTCTTATATACGGGAAGCAGACCACACCCCTAAAGCAGCTACTCAGCTGCTTGTAGTAGGTCCCACCATGGAGATGATTGCCAGTCTCATCATGGGGAATAACTACCACCACTTGCCCAACCACTCAACCAGTTCTAGCCAAGTTAACACACAAATTTAACCACCACAAAATCTTAAAGAAACACTGAAATTAAAAATAAATAAATAAGGGGTTGTCATAAGCAAAAGAGATTGAGGTGATGTGGAATTTTTTTCGTTCTCTAAGTCATACTCATTGGTCCGTATGTTTTATGCATAATGACCAGTGCAGCACTGTTATGCATAATTAGAGAATGAAGGGTCAGCTGAGGATTCCACTAATCCATGGAAGGATTTTCCAAGTGGGGGCTAGTTTTAAAGATTTTGGAACAAGCACCTATATAGCTGCCAGTTGCATATCATTCTCTGTGTTTGTTTTATTGAAACTTCAGTATACTCTCAGTAAATATTACCATATAGTCTTTCATTAATTTCAGAATGAGTCTAATCAATTTGTTTTACTGTAACCTGGCGAAGAAAACCTGTAAAAATGAAACTAAACTTTACTGTGTTGATCCAGTCAGATAGAAGGCATATCCAAAACTCTAGATATATCTGAATGTGTGAGCACAAAAGAATAATATTTGGGAGATCCTTCCAAGGGATTTCAGAATAAGAAATTAGCTTGCAAAAGTTTGCTGAAGGTTGATGATAAACAATGTGAGAATATGTGAAGTCACAGAGTTCTCAGGCTATCATCACCACAGTAATGAAAAGCAAGTTAAATACTAATCACAGAAATATACATGCATCAGTGAATTTTCAATATGTTCCAAATAAAAATAATCCTATGGGCATATGGATGACTCAGTTTATCACTTATAAAATTCTGACTTAGAAGGTTGGTTAAGGCTACTTGGAAACATTCTAGGATATATATATATTTAAATATCTGATATACTTTGACTACAAACAAGACATTTTCTTCATTCATTTCAAACCATAGAAATATGGACTGACATGCAATATTTTTTTTCAGTTTAATTTCAGCTAAAAATGTACTTTGTTTATGGTCAAATTTCTCTCAAATAATTTTTTCATTGCTTCTTTTACATCTTTGTTCCTCAAGCTGTAGATGATGGGATTCAGCATGGGAATCACAATGGTGTAAAACACAGACACTATCATGTCATGGTCCAAAGCATAGCTGGAACTTGGCCTCACATACATGAACAGGATTGTTCCATGGTAAATTGACACTCCAGTGAGGTGAGAGGCACAAGTGGAAAACACTTTTCGCCTCCCTTCAGCAGAATGTATTTTCAGAACGGCCAACAAAATGAACCCATAGGAAATCAGGACAATTAGGATGGTGAATATCTCAATAGAACCTGCAAAGTAGAAGAGTAGAAGCTGGTTGATGTGAGTGTCAGCACAGGAGATAGCAAGGAGTGGGGGGATATCACAAAAGACATGTCTGATTTCATTGGATGCACAGAAGGGGAGGCGAAAAGTTGCTACTGTGTGCAAAGTGGCATGCAAAATACCAGCAACATAAGACCCAGTGATGAGTGGCACATAGACTCTGGGTGACATGTTAACTGAATAGAGCAGTGGGTTGTAGATTGCTACATAGCGATCATATGCCATGGCTGCCAACAGAAAACATTCTGTGGTCCCAAAAGTAAGAAAGAACAGCATCTGTGTAGCACATCCAAGGAATGAAATGCCCTTATTCTCTGATAGGAAATTAACCAACATTTTTGGGGTGACAGCTGAAGAAAAGCAGGCATCTAAGAAAGATAATACACTCAGGAAATAGTACATGGGGTTGTGGAGTCTGGAACTTACCAAGACTAATAAAACCAATCCCAAATTTCCTACCAGAGTAAAAATGTAGATGGCAAGGAACAGTAAAAAGAGATAGACTTGCAGCTCAAAATCATCTGTGAAGCCCAACAATGTAAACATGGTCACTTCAGTGACATTCTTCAACTGAATCCTGTATGGTCCCAGTCCTGATGACAACACTGACATGTCGGTTGATATTTATAATTCCAAAGTGTAATTGGAGTGTCTGAGTTGTGCTAATGGTTGATATACCTGCTGCTAACTGAAAGATTGGTAGGTCAATTTCATCCAGAGCAACCTCAGAAAAAAAGACTATCTACTCCAGCCATTGAAAACACCATGGTCAACAGATCTCATCTGACCCACATGACATCACCTTGTATTGGAATCGATTAGAAGGCAAGTGGTAAATGCAATGTTCTGTGAAACAGAGTACACACATCATGTCTTCATCTTTGTTCCTTAGAAGGAACATGCTCTTGTCAGTGATGGGATAGGCAGTGATGAAGTCGTTGGGCTATGATGATATAATTTCCTGCATAAATAAAAGAAAGAAATGCTTTCATTCATTTATTGGTTAAACTATCCATGATAAAAACAAACAAGTAAAGAAACAATAAACCTGACAATATATGTTGTTTTCATATTGTGACAATTTAAAATTTACAAAGAAGAATGAATAGAGGGATATTTAATTCCAAAAACATTATACATGGAAGCACACACTTGAATACATATTTTAAAATAGCTACAGCACTCATGAACGCCTGTCCTTAATGGTCACATGTGTAAAATGAGAGCAACAGCATGTGTCTCACCAGAATGGGTTAAATATAAATGATAGGAAATTATTCAAAATGCTTTAATTTTCAAAGTGTTCAGAGAATAATAATGCATAAATATATCCAGCTATTCTTTGGACATCACCAAAAAATACAGTTTAAAATAAATTCTCCATCCTCTTTCTTTCCTCCACCTGCTCTTTTGTCTTTCTATCTCTATTTAAGTAATCCATGGACACAAATGAAAACATTTACTGGAGAGAGTAAGGAATAAAATAGAAATTAGGTAGAAAGAAGCACAGTAAAAGATAAGAAAAATATATAAGGAAGTTTTTTGGGAAAAAGGCCAATAGGTAGTCTGCTAAAGAAATTCATTGCCAAATCTGCTGCAAAATATAACTTGACTAACAAACAGGAGAAACATCAGCTAAATTGTGATTATAATGATCATTTCACTGATGTGTCTGAGACAAGACAACAATGGTGGAAAGTTAAGTACATTATATTTAGACTTGAAAAACTTCTCTTAAAATCTCAGGGATAACACCCAGTGCCAATAGAAGCTTGGAAGTGTAAGGTCACCCTTCTTATACCAAAGAATATATAAGACTGGCGGATTTTTAGAAATAATTATTTCAATTACATAAACATGGAATTCATGCACAATGTTCATTTATGAAGCATATTAACATAATTTATTAATTGGAATATTTGATTTTATGTCAAAGTGCATACTGCTTCATATGACTTTCACATTTTATTTTTCTAAAATAAACTAAGGAGCTCTGGTGGCATAGTGCTTAAAGTATTTTACTGGTAACCAGAAGGCTGG